GAGAGAGCGCGTGCACATGAGGGAGGGAGGGGCAGAGGGTGAGGGACATAGACTCCCCACTGAGCAGGCACCCCCCCCCCGAAATTTTTTAAATAGACCTTCTGTTTGCTTCCTGCATGCCAGTGGATCGAAATTTGAGCACCCTCTTTAGAAACCACTGATTTAGTCCAAAGTTCTTCAGTATGTAGATTCCTGGGCCCCATCCTAGACTTTCTGAATAGGAGACGTGAGAATTTGCATTTTGGGGATGCTCAACAGGTGATTCTTATTTTTTCTAAGGTATGAAAACTGCTGATCTGTTACTCCTCCATTTCCGTTTGCCCCCCAATTTGTAAATTACAAATTTTCTAACTAGAAAAGTTGAGAGGGGGACACCTGGGTGGCTCAGTTGGTTAAGCGACTGGCTTTGGCTCGGGTCATGATCCTGGGGTCCTGGGATCGAGCCCTACATCAGGCTCCCTGCTCAGCGGGGAGGCTGCTTCTCCCTCTGTGCCCCTCCGCCTGTGCCTGTGCTCTCTTGCTGTCAAATAAAATCTTAAAAAAAAAAAAAACAACAACATTTAGAAAAGTTGAGAGGATCGTACAAATGAACAGCTATGTTCCTTTCACCCAGGTTTGCCTGCTTAATATTTTCTCACATTGGCTTTCCCTCTTTTTTTGCCCTCTGAACCATTTGAAAGTGCAAAGGTCATGACATTTTTATCCCTAAAGACTTCAGCACGCACCTGCCCAGAATTGGTATTCTCCTGAACAGCCACGATGCCATTATCATACCTAAGAAAATAAACAATTCTCTGTCATTACCCGGTACTTAGTCCATACTGAAATTTCCCCAGCTGTTCCCAAAAAAGTGCTTTTAGCTTTTTTTCCTTGAATTTAAGACCCAGGCAGTAGTCACACGTGGCATTTGTTATGTCTCCAAGTCCGCCTTCTGTTTTGCTTCTCGTGACATTGAATTTTCTTCGAAGAGGCCAGTGCCTTTTGGAGAAAGTCCTGCATGTGTATTTGTCCAGTGTTTCCTTGTCATCAGATCTAGGTTACAGATTGCTGGCCAGCTACATAGGTGATTATTATCAGTAGGCACTTGAGGTTATCCTTTTATTGGTGATGTCAAGTTTGGTAACTTGTTTAATGTGGTGACCATACAACTAAGTCATCTGTGGACTGACGCTTCAAGTCCATGTGAACGTCAAGCTCCTTAGACCCGTGATGGTCCTTGCCTGATTCATTCGTGACTTTGTGTGTGTTTTCTATTTCATCCCTTCTACATTTATTAGCTGGCATCCTTCTGTAAAGCAGGAGCCTTCTCTCTTTAAACGTTACTAGGAATAGGGACGCCTGGGTGGCTCAGTTGGTTAAGTGTCTGCCTTCGGCAGATCCCAGGGTCCTGGGATCGAGCTCCGCATTGGGCTCCCTGCTCAGCGGGAGGCCTGCTTCTCCCTCTTCCACTCCCCCTGCTTGTGTTCCCTCTCTTGCTGTGTCTCTCTCTGTCAAATAAATAAATAAAACGTTAAAAAAAAAACCATTACTAGGAATAATGGATTTCTTTTTCATATCCGATGTATTGTAATCCATTACCATCATTGTTTTTCATTACAGTCAGATTTCCTAAACCTGGCCACGTGGCGCTCCTTTTTTTTTTTTTTTAAGATTTATTTGAGAGAGAGCGCGCTCACGCATGCGCGCACGTGCAGGGGTGGTGGGAGGGGCAGAGAGGGAGGGAGAGGGACAGGCAGACTCCAAGCTGAGTGGGGAGCCCGATTCAGGGCTTAGTCTCACAACCCTGAGATCATGACCTGAACAGAAGTCAGGAGTCAGACACTTAACCGACTGCACCGTCTAGGCACCCTGAGACTCCAGCTTCTTTTTTTTTTTTTTTTAAGATTTTATTTGAGAGAGAGAACAAGCATGAGGAGGGGGAGAGGCAGAGGGAGAAAGAAAGGGAGAAGCAGACTATCCACTGAGCAGGGAGCCCAATGCGGGACTCGATCTCAGGACTCTGGGATCATGACCTGAGCCAAAGGCAGATGCTTAACCAACTAAGCCCCCCAGGCGCCCGGAGACTCTAGCTTCTTAATGCTTGATTCCTTCCCTCTATAATTTTACTTTCTCTCCATAAGACATTCCTTCACCCTCTTCGCCATGCTTTTAACCTGTTTTCTTCAGCCTTCTCCTTTCCAAGCCACATTTTCTGCCCCCCCCCCGCCATTCTGTCTTCTGCTCCGCACTATTGTGAGTGTCCCACGGAGCCCTAATCCCCCGCCCCACCCCGAGTTCCCTCCTTTTAGTTTTCATTCATGGACTCTCATTTAAAATCTTATGCCAGACTGCATTTACTGTGTATCCATTTTTGTTAAGCAAAGCCATTCATGATTTCATACCCAAGAAAGTATGGGTATGAAATGACAGTTGCTTTCTTGGGTATGAAATGACAGTTGCACCCACACTGAGAAATGAAATTACAGCCCAAAGATAGGAAACCTGATACTTTAGTTAGCCACTCTGACACAAATAGGGAATCATGTACAGTCCAGGCTCCTGTAGTTGAAAAAATTTTTAAGTTTATTTACTTATTTAATCTCTATACCTAATGTGGGCTCGAACCTATGACCCTGAGATCGAGAGTCGCATGCTCTTCCATTTTTTTTTTTTTAAAGATTTATTTATTTGGGGTGCCTGGGTGGCTCAGTTGGTTAAGCGTCTGACTCTTGGTTTCAGCTCGGGTCATGATCGCCTGTTGTGAGATCAAGCCCGGCATCAGGCTTCATGCTCAGTGGGGAGTCAGCTTCAGATTCTCTCTCTCCTCTCCCTGCCTCCCTCCCCGGTCTCTCTAAAATAAATAAACATATTTTTTATTTTTTTTTAAAGATTTTATTTATTTATTTGAGAGAGAGAATGAGAGACAGCATGAGAGAGAGGAGGCTCAGAGGGAGAAGCAGACTCCCTGCTGAGTAGGGAGCGCGATGTGGGACTCGATCCCAGGACCCCAGGATCATGACCTGAGCCGAAGGCAGACGCTTAACCAACTGAGCCACCCAGGCACCCTGAATATATTTTTTTAAATAGTTAATTTATTTGTTTGACAGAGAGAGACACAGCGAGAGGGAACACAAGCAGGGGGAGTGGTAGAGGGAGAAGCAGTTTTCCTGCTGAGCAGGGAGCCCGATGTGGGGATCTTGGGATCATGACCCGAGCCGGAGGCAGACGCTTAATGACTGAGCCACCCAGGCGCCCCATAAATAAAATCTTAAAAAAAAAAAAGATTTATTTATTCATGAGAGAGAATGCGAGCAGGTGGAGGGGCAGAGGGAGAGAGAGAGAGAGTCCCAACAGACTCCCCAGCGAGCATGGAGCCTGACCCAGGGCTCAACCCCAGGACCTGGAGATCATGACCTGATCCACAACCAAGAGTCGGAAGCTCAGGGTGCCTGGGTGGCTCAGTCGTTAAGTGTCTGCCTTCAGCTCGGGTCATGATCCTAGGGTCCTGGGATCAAGCCCCGCATCGGGCTCCTCGCTCAGTGGGAAGCCTGCTTCCTCTCCCACTCCCCTTGCTTGTGTTCCCTCTCTCGCTGTGTCTCTCTCTGTCAAATAAATAAAATCTTAAAAAAAAAAAAAGTCAGCAGCTCAACTGACTGAGTCACCCAGGTACCCCAAGAGTGGCATGCTCTTCTGACTGAGCCAGCCAGGCGCCCCTGGGCACCTGTTTTTGGACAGAGAGTAGTTCGCAGGCCCCATGACAACCTTCTGAGGACCTGGAGCTTGCAGCCACTGGTCCAGGCTTTCCTTTCCTGTTCCAGCTGGATTACCAGGCTCCCAGCTTTTCTGTCCTCACAGCTCACCGCAGTCTCTGCTCCCAGGGCCTCCCTTTGCAAAGGCCAGGATTTGTATTGGGTTTTCAGGATTGCATATGCAGGGTGGCCAGGAAATGTTTTATTTTCCTCAGGAGTCTCTCAAGAGATGGCCCTTTCTCTCTCTTTTTTTTTAAAGATTTTATTTATGGGGCGCCCGGGTGGCTCAGTCGTTAAGCGTCTGCCTTCAGCTCAGGTCATGTGGGATCGAGCCCCGCATCGGGCTCCCTGCTCGACCGGAAGCCTGCTTCTCCCTCTCCCACTCCCCCTGCTTGTGTTCCCTCTCTCGCTGTCTCTCTCTGTCAAATAAATAAAAACATCTTTAAAAAAAAATAAAATAAAGATTTTATTTATTTATTTGACAGAGAGAGACAGCGGGAGAGGGAACACAGCCGGGGGAGTGGGAGAGGGAGAAGCGGGCCTCCCACTGAGCAGGGAGCCCAATGTGGGGCTCGATCCCAGGACCCTGAGATCATGACCTGAGCCGAAGGCAGACGCTTAATGACTGAGCCACCCAGGCGCCCCGAGATGGCCCTTTCTTTGAGGACTTCTCTGTACCCTGGAGAAACATGTTTTCTTAATTGTAGGGATTTTCTTACCTCCTGACTTCCTGTCCATATCATTAAGTTTTTCTTCGTGTCTCAGAACTGGGATTTCCTGACTGTAATGGTCTGTGAGCGTTTTCTCCTGTATTACAAATGCAATATTATTTATTAGACAAAAATCAATAAAGATGAGCAAAAAATTATAATAGCTAACATTTTGGGGGCTCTTAGTGTGGGTTGGGCACTTTGTGTTTGTTAACTCATTTGAGGCTGACAACAACCAGAGATGTAGGGTTGGAGTTATCCTCATTTTCCGTCCTTTGCAGTTGAAGAAAGTGAGTCTGGAGGGTAAATGACTGGCTCAGAATCACAAGCTAATAAGTTGCAGAGCTGATCTTCAAACCAGAGCCAAGACTTGTTTGTGTTACCCTTCCAGAGCTTTTCCTATATATAAGCATATATACACAAAAATGGGATCGTATTGTATGTAAAATACTTTTTACCCCCATATATTGTGACCATCTTTTCATGTTGGTAAGTCTACTTCAACAGCATTCTTTTTAATCCAGCGTCCTTCTGTTTCCTCTTCTTTCGGCCCTATCCCTAGGATCGACGAGAATGTGCTGGGAGCCCAGCTGGATGTTGAGGCTGCCCATTCAGAGATCCTCAAGTACTTCCAGTCGGTCACCTCGAACCGGTGGCTCATGGTCAAAATCTTCCTCATCCTCATTGTCTTCTTCATCATCTTTGTGGTCTTCCTTGCCTGAACCCTCTCCTCTCTGAGGCACTCCGTGGGGGTTTGGAACCCCTTTGGTAGGGCAGGTGGCCAGTGCTGCCACTGAGCCTATGCAGGGTGCTTGGGAGAAAGGCCCTGTTTCCCTGGAACTGCTGAGAATGGCCACTGACCCTGACCCCTAACCCTTTGCCTCTGGCCACCCTGTCCTCCCCTCACCGCCCTCAGGCCCTCGAAACACACACGGTTCTGGATTTGTACTCTGCTGTGAGGTGGCTGGAAGGGAGAAGCCAACCGGGGGGTTAGTGGGGGAGGTTGTCTCCACTAGGTAGGAGATTTTTAGAAACTCCCCAGCCTCTTCCAAAGGAAACTTTGGCAGCAAGGGAGATGATGCCCTTTCCCACCTTCCTGAGAGTGAGGAGAGGAAGTGAAATTGCCCCCCCCACCCCCCCGGGGACCAACTTTCCCATCTGGGTTAGAATTTGACCTCTTTCTTCTTCCTCTTTCCACCACGTGAGGCAGGGGGCCCTGAGCCCCTTGGCTGCCTGCACAACCCCAACTTTGGCTGCTGGTGACTCTCAATCTGCCAAATGCGCTGCAGCCCATTTTCTCCCAATTACAGCAAGACTGTCAGCCTTACTAGCCATGTCGTCATTTCTGGGTGGGAGCGTCGAAGGGCCTTCACAGCCAGTGGAGTGAGCGCACTGCCTGGTACCAGAACTGAGAGGCCGGGCTGATGGCTCTAAGGGCCAAGCTTTGGGCCCTGTGCACACAGCTGCCTCCGGGCAGGGAACACCCAGGTGCAGCAGCACTTCATGAGCATGGAAACTTCCCTTCAGAGGGGGAAGCATGACCCCAGAATGGGTCCCTGAGTGGTGGCAACTTCCAGGATCAACTCCAGCAGTGTTTGTACCTGTTTCAGCTGCATGCTCCAACCAGCTGGCCCCCATTTTTCCTTGAGCTAGATGACACAAGAGCTCTGCCTGCTGCCAGGAGTGAAATGTGAAGAACTTGTTCCCAGCTCCAGCTGAGGCTCTTGGTCCCCTCCAAGCCCCTCACCAATTCCAAGCCAGTCACAGGAGGATGGAGGAGAAACCTGCCTGGAACGCCCACCCTCCAGGGAGGTTAATACACTTCTTGGTGTTATTCTGAAGTTGTTGGGGTCCCCCCACATCTCACACACCCTAGAGGAAGTTCAAGCTACAGAGAGAACAATCACAACTCTGAAAGCTGACCCTAGAACTTCGAGGGGCGGAGGTTGAGCGGAGCGGGGGGCAGTCTAGGAGAACCTCTGTCTTTTCTGGCCCAGGCATTTTACTGTTTCCTCTCCCAGGCCTCTGGTCAGCAGGTGGTCTTGCTTGCATCTTCACTGCCCAACCAACACAAGCTGTTCCGGTACAGCACCTCAGTGGTGGGTGGGGAGGTTGTGAAGACAATTGCTTGTGAACGCTAGAAAAATGGTCTGTTCATTGGACATGGCAGCTCATCTTGGGAGGATGCATAGATCGGAAATTCATTTATTTCCCAAGTGTTTGTTGAGTTCTTGGTACATGCCGGGCAGTGTACTGAGCCAGGAGCTGGAGAAAAGTCACGAATTAGTGAACATCCCTGCTCTCTTGGGGTTTACGTTCTAGTTTTCTGTTGCCTGATAATGCATCTTACAGACGAGGAAAGCGTGGCATATATTGGCTGCTGGCAAAAGGGCTGGGCTGAGAGATTCAATACTGGTTGTATAACGCTAGGAGGTCTAAGAACCATCACTCCCGCTCCAAGGCCCGGGTCTCCCCTTCCTCGGAAGCCCTTCGTGCGACCCCCTTCCCCATTCGTCTCGGAGACTTGGGCTGCAGCAGCTTGCTCTTTGCTCCAGCGCTAGTCCCGGAGGTGCTGGCGTAGCGACGAACCGAAGGCGGCGGCGGGGCGGGGCCGGGCGGGCCGGCCCCGACCCTGGAGTAGCTCGGCGAGCGCAGGTCTCTGGCGGGATCAGGAGCGGCTGAGCCCCGCCTCCAGCGCGGCTGCCAGCCGAGTGCGCACGCGTAGAGGGCCGCGCTCCTCAGGCGGCACCGCCCACCACCGGGGGACGTCGGCGGCGCGCGACGTAGTTCGCAGAATAAATGCGGTGGCGCCGGGCGTAGGAGCGCTTCGGCCGGGGCGCTTTTGGGCGTTCGGACGATTGGTGGCGTTGCGGCCCGCGGCTGAGCCGGCCCTGCTACTCTCTGTGCCATGGCGGACGAGGGGAAGTCCTACAACGGTCAGTGCTGGCTCTCAGGGCAGGGAGCGAGATGATCTGGGGCCCAGTGGGCGGCGCCGGCCTAGGCCGCAGCCCCGGGGCGGGAGGCCGCGAGAGGCCGGGCGTCCGCGGGGTGCGTCGGCGGCGCGGGCCGGGGGCAAGGCCCCCCGCGGGCCCGGCCGCACTCGAGGCTGGGAGCCCGACGTGTTGACGCGGGAATCCTGGCGTTGCGAGGAGCTTCGGCTCGGAGCAGGCGGCCTGGCGGTGGGGTGGCGAGATTCCTTTGAACTTTGTGGGTGGTTGATGCCTGTCAGTTCAGTTGGGCGGCCAGACTCTTCCTTTAATGTGAGTCAGTGCCCGGCTCATCGGCTACCTTGTGTCTTATTTTCCACCGCGTCCAGTCTCTTGCCCCGCCTCCCCTGCGGCCTTGGCTTTGGCTTTAATATTTTAAACCTCCACATCAACGCGCTGTATCCGAACACTACGCAGGGTTTTTGTCCAGAGGAGTGGTTAGGAGCACATGACAGCTGAGGTTTGAGTCCAGAGTTGTCTTCCCCAAGCTTGAGTGAATTCCACTCCCAGGCCTCATTTTTCTATTTTCCTAAGAAGGTAGTGATTGTACTTACTTCCTAAGTTTGCTCTTGTGTATGTTAAACGAGTTTATTCACATCAAGTGCCTGGAGCATAGTGCTTGGCCCTGGAGAAAGTTCTCAGTATATATTAGCTGTGCCTGCTATTCAGTTGTTTGTTTTTCCCCTATGGTCATTTCTTAAGGTTCATTGGTTGCAGAGTGCTGGCATGAGGCAGACCTTTTTGGGAGTCATAGACCTTTTTTTTAGAAGCCATTCCTACAGAGGATTCAGAGGGTCCTGTTCCTGGAGAGCAGTCAAGGAGAGTTGGCTAAGCTCCCTACTTGCCACTAGAACCTGAATCTTAGGAGTTGTCTTCTGAGTAAAAAGGCATTTCTAGGGGTGCCTGTGTGGCTCAGTTGGTTCAGTCAGCATCTGCCTTTGGCTCAGGTCATGATCCCAGAGTCCTGGGATAGAGCCCCGTGTCGGGCTCTCTGCTCAGTGGGGAGCCTGCTTCTCCCTCTCCCTGCTGCCCCACCTACTTGTGCGCTGTCTTTCTCTCCCTCTCTAGTAAATAAATAAAATCTTTTTTTTTTTTAAGGCATTTCTGGCCAAGGAAATAAAGAGCTCATTCCCAAAACTTCAGGGTGTCAGTTTGAGAACGAGAATTTTTTTTTTTTAAAGATTTCATTTATTTACTTGACAGAGACACAGCGAGAGAGGGAACACAAGCAGGGGGAGTGGGAGAGGGAGAAGCAGGCTTCCCGAGGAGCGGGGAGCCAGATGTGGGGCTCGACCCGAGGACCCCAGGATCACGACCTGAGTCGGCTCAAGTCATGGTTCCGGGGTCCTCGCATCGGGCTCCCTGCTCCGCGGAAAGCCTGCTTCTCCCTCTCCCACTCCCCCTGCTTGTGTTCCCTCTCTCGCTGTGTCTGTCTCTGTCAAATAAATAAATAAAATCTTTTTTTTAAAAGAGTTTTAAAGAAGCCAAAAAAAAAAAGTTTTAAAGAAGCCCTTAAATTGATGATGTTTATAACTGTATGACGTTTGTACTCTGTAGGCAAAGGAAGCGTTGTTTACTGAAAGCTGATGTGATCATTGTGATTGATTAATTTTAGGAGATGTGAGAGAGGTCCCCATCCAGATTCTGAGAGGGGTTAAATAGATTTGGGAGGCCAAGGGCAAACAGATTTCAGGTGACTTTTCAGTTGCACACTGAGTCCATATTCTGCTCACACTTCCACATTGTACTTCTCTCTGTAAGTTCCAGTTTCTGACTCGTTTTTTCCAAAGCTCTATGCTGTCTTCCAGTAATGTTTCCCTCATGCTGCCATGCCACAGAGAGGGTTCTCTCTCTCAACAGACAGAAGTTTGCGTGGAAGTGGGCTTCGTAGTCGGTGTGTATGTCATTCTATAGCACAGGCTGCTGGAGCTTTGATTGCCACAGCAGGGTAGCTGGACTAGCAACGTGTTTTCTAATTGATGTCGTTTTTAACCCCAGAGCACGATGACCGTGTTAGTTTCCCTCAAAGAAGAAAGAAAGGCCGGGGTCCTTTCCGGTGGAAATATGGTGAGGGGAACCGTAGGTCTGGAAGAGGAGGTTCTGGCATCCGGTCTTCCCGTCTGGAGGAAGATGACAGAGATGTGGCAATGAGTGATGCCCAGGATGTTCCCCGAATACGACAGTAAGTGACTAGTTGATCTGGTTTGATTTTAGTGACCCATTTACTTATTTAGCTCTCTACTGCCCACGCCATTTCTCTTCCCACCTGTACAAGTGAGAGATGCCAGGTCCAGCTTAATGGGTGAACAGTCTTAGCTGCAATCCTGACAGCAGTGTGGGAAGCCTTTGAGAAGACTTTCCTAGTGTTTGTGGACATTTTATTCTCTGCTTCCCCACAGCAACCCCTATCCTTCCCGACCCAACCGTCGAGGTGACAGTTGGCATGATCGAGATCGCATTCATGTTACTTTGCGGAGAGACAGAACTCTTCCAGAGAGAGGAGGGGCTGGTACCAGTCAGGATGGGACCTCGAGAAACTGGTTTAAGATTACAGTGAGTGTCTGGGGCGCCTGCGGGGCTCAGTCGGTTAAGTGTCTGTCCAACTCTTGATTTCAGCTCAGGTCATGATCTCAAGGTCATGAGATTGAGTCCTGTGTCATCTCTGTGCTGGGCATGGAGCCAGCTTGAGATTCTCTCTCTCTCTCTCTCTCTCTCTCCCCCCCTCTCCCTCTCCCCCCCCTCTCCCTCTGCCCCTCCCCCCCTAAAAAAAAAGATTACAGTGAGTGTCTGGGGAAGTAGATGCTGCAAGGGAGGAGGGGGCTGGGCTCAGAGTGAAGGTCTTTACTTTTCACATGACAAAATCAGTCTTCTCCGCTGTTTCCTCCACAGTCAGGTGTCCATCCTTCCTCCTAGAACATCTAAGAGCAGGTTCAGGAAAGGCGTAGAAGAAGACAAGCAGGATCGGGGCGGGGGGCCCCATCTAAAGGAAAACATGATTAACTGGTTGGGAGGTAGAGGAACTCCTCTGAATGTCTCCGTGTGGCTCAAGCCGAGTGTGGAGCTTGGGGTCTCTTAAGTCCTCGGAGGGGCGGACCATGTCTGAATCATATCTTGAAACTTTTAGAACCAAAAAATTTTATTTTCTTGAGGAATACTAAGTTAAATGGACAGAAAGGAGGATAAGGAGTCTGACTTGAATAAAAAAAACTTTTAACTGGCCCTTCCTTCAGGAAATGTGAAAGTTGGCAGAAGGTGTGAAAGGAGCGCTAGATGGGTCTGCTGGTCAGCCTTCGTTCCATATTCTGTTCTCTCTCTCTCTCTCATCTAGATTCCCTATGGC